TTAAAACGCCCACATTTTCAATTCACAACGCTAGAAGAGATTCTTCCGGAGATGGGACGAGCTCGTGCATTTTCTACAGTGGATGCAAGGAAAGCATTTTGGCAAGTTAAGTTGACTGAAAACAGCAGCAGGTTGACAACCTTCTGGATTCCATTTGATCGGTACAGATGGAAAAGACTTGCATTCGGCTTATCTGCAGCGTCAAAAATCTTTTCGAAGAAAATGCAAAAAATCACTTTCGGTCTGGAAGACAGAGATCCTAATAGATAATGTTGTAATCTATGGGTGCGGCGAAACCGTGGAAGAGGCCATAAAAGATTATAACAAGAATCTAGAAGCACTGTTACTCAGACTGGAGGAGAGAGGCTGCAAGCTCAATGAGAACAAACTTAGTCTATGAATATAAAGACTCAGTAAAATTCTTTGGCCACGTGTTAACTAGTGAAGGCTTTATGCCAGATAAAGAAAAGATTGAAGCTATAAAGAATATACCAGCGCCTCACGACAAAAAGGATCTGTTACGTTTTTTAGGCATGGTTACATATTTAAGCAAATTTATTAAGAACCTGTCATCAGAGACAGACATCCTTAACGAGAGAAGATACCATATGGAAATGGACTTCAGTTGAAGACAGAGAGTTTGAGAAGATCAAACTAGTAGCTAATATCGATAAGCAGCACTACTTTAATCCCCAGCAATCTGTTACGATAGAATGCGATACAAGCGCGACCGGTCTTGGTGTACCAGCATATCAAATGGACCGCGTCATAGGTTATGCTTCAAGGACTTTCACGAGAACAGAGAGAAACTATGCCCAGATAAAGAAGGAAATGCTAGCCATCGTGTTTGGTTGTACAAGATTTGACCAAATAATTGCAGGTAGCGTAAAGACCATAGTCAAAACATACCATAAACCTTTGATTTCAATTTTCAAGAAACCATTACTTAAAGTTCTAAAAAGACTCCAACTCATGCTGATGGCTTTGCAACGGTATAATCTTGAGGTATATTTTGTTAAAGATAAAGACAACGTAGTATCGGACACCCTTTCAAGGGCTTCAGTGAGGAGCGATATGATTCCAAAGAAGATACAAAACCACAACATTTTCGAAATCGAGAAGGATAACAAAGTTTGCAGAATGATAGAGAAAATTAACATTCATAGATCCTTGCGTATTGTGCCGGAACGTGTGGACTACATTAGAGACGCAACGAGAAAAGATAGCACCATGCAGCGGCTTAGCCGCCATGATCAGTCATATACATCATATTTATATTATATTTATTTTGAGCTTTAATACTGCATATCTCGAAAACTAAAGCAGTTAGCCCTATAAGATCTATATAATTTTTTGTTCAGCGTAAAAAATACTACCAGAAACCACAGTCAAATCAAGGGGCACTAGTTCGTGTTCTCCCCGTGTTTGGCAATCCCGTGATTAAATACGCAAGCCAATAAGAATCGGAACGATCGATCAGTCTAACCGATATTTGTATCGTAAGACGAAACACGTTGCGGAATGAATCTCCAAAAGTCAAATATTCTGTGAACGTTACGAATTGTTTCAGCAAACGATTATTAGTTACTTTCCATTTACATCAAAACTCAGATAATTCTCACTTGTGACGTCATAACTCAGTTAAATGCACGTTCCTTTTGGATGCTGGCAAGTGAGATTCAACTGAGTTTTTATCCACAATCAAGACCGTGTGCTTTAATGAATCTAACAGACTCACATTAAAAATGAGGCTATGGACCTGTATTATTATATGCGATAGCTTTGTCACCAAAATAAGCAGGTAAATACAAAAGTTGCTTTCCATTTACACTCAAGTGATCTGAGTCACTCAGTTATGTGAATATTTTATACTCAGGTAAGATATGTCATTTTGTGCACTTACCTGCTTATTTTGGTGACAAAGCTATCGCATAACAATACAGATTCATAGCCTCACTTTTAATGTGAGTCTGTTTGATTCATTAAAACACACGGTCTCGATTGTGGATAAAAACTCAGTTAAATCTCACTTGCCAGCATCCAAAAGGAACGTGCATTCAACTGAGCTATGACGTCACAAGTGAGAATTATCTGAGTTTTGGTGTAAATGGAAAGCAACTAAAATAACATATCTTACCTGAGCATAAAATACTCACATAACTGAGTGACTCAGATCACCGCGGAAACACCCCTACAAAACCCCATCGGGGATCTTGTATCCGAGTACAAAAAATTAGTTCGCGTGCTTTTAACAATTCCCGCAACGTTGTGTACAAATGAGAGATCATTTTCGCATTTAAGATTATTAAAAAATTATTTGAGATCAACGATGCATCAAAAGCGGTTAAATAATATTGCGATATTATATACGCATCAAGATCTTGTAGAGAGATTAGACGAAGAGGAGCTAATCAATTCATTTATAAAGAAAAATAATATTAGAGCAGCTACTTTTGCCATGTAAATAAGTGTGAATATTTATTTCCACCCCCCCCCCTCTCCAAATGTCCGCCGGCTACTCCATACACTGAAAAATTTTACTTCGCCGGCCCTGTCAGGACGTGTACGAAGACTGCAAAGTTTACTTCAAGTACAAGGATGAATTAGCTGCACAAGATGATCTGGTCTTTAGAAACGACAAAATCGTCATACCATTCGAATTAAGGAAAACTATGGTGACTTTAGTACACATCGCCCATACCGGCGTGGAAGCTACGCTAAATCTAGCCAGAGAAAAAATATTCTAGCCGGGCATGTCGGAGCAGATTAAGCAAAAGATACAACACTGCGAAGTTTGCATGGAATTTAGGGATTCACAACAAATCCACCTATGCAGTCATACGAGATTCCGCATTATCCGTTCCAGTATGCGTCTATGGATGTGTTCTTTGCGGAATATAAAGGAAAGAAGAGGAAATTCCTTATTACAGTCAACTATTATTCTGATTTCTTTGAGCTGGACATCCTATCAGACATATCAGCGAAAACACAAGTTTACACCTGTAAGAAGACATTCAGCAGACATGGAATATCACTTAGAGTATGTAGCGATAACGGCACCAACTTCGAAAACAAGCTGATGTGGAATCTGGGACAAGCTTGGGGCTTCGAGTTAGTGACTTCGGCTCCAAAACATCAGCAGAGCAATGGTAAATCAGAGGCCACTGTAAAAATTGCAAAAAAGTTAGTAAAGAAAGCAGAACGAAGCGGTCAGGATCTGTGGTATATGCTGCTGCACTGGAGAAACACGCCCAATAAGATAGGATCAAGCCCAGTACAAAGACTCTATTCCAGAAGAACACGTTCAGGAGTACCCAGTTCCATCAATAATTTTCAGCCAAAAGTGATAGCTGATGTACCTACAAAGATAGAGTTAAACAAGGAGAGAAGCAAATTCTATTATGATACAAAATCGAGGAATCTTCCGGAACTTGAAATAGGTCAATCTATTGCTGTACAACTCCACCACGATAGAAGTAACGCTTGGGACCAAGGAACAATTGAGAATAAACTAAGCAAAAGAGACTATATAGTAGAGGTGAACGGCGCAAGATATTGAAGAAACTTGGTACACATCAGACCGTTTTCCAAGGAGAACCATACCGAGATGCCTGCTGAGTTAAGGGACGGGTCAAAGACGGTGAATACAGCAGCTAAGAATCACAGATCAGAATCTCCAAAGGATGCGTAAATAGACATCGGATCATAATTTCAGAGGAGATACGTGAAACAGGAGATATCTAACGAAGAGGAAGGTGGACAACTTTCGGATGAGACGATCGAGCATCGGGAAGAACATAAGCAGGAGGATCATTTAAGTATTTCGCCGGAGAAAAAAGCAAAAAGCCCGCAAGCCGATATTAGATTAAAGAGAATTCGCAGATCTCCGAAAAGTTTAGAAGATTATATACTATATAAATAGACAGTAATCTCAAGTCAGCTTTTTTTTTAATTTTATCACTTTATTTAAAAATTCTTTTAAAAATTAAAAGCAATAATAATATATGTAAAAAAAGAGATGTTAGGGTGGTACGCTTGGCCAGGAGGCGCGAGAAAAGACGCGAGATTGTACGACTGAATCAAATATATCGAGTAAGCATATCCTGATTGCATAGTAATTATTTATCCTAGGCACTATAAAACAGTTCTAATGGTTAGAAAATTGTCAGAAAAACAGTAATTAATTGTAAGTTTTAATTATACATTTTCCAACGTTTACATTGCCTTTGCACATTGAATCGGATATACGTAGTCTGTTTAAAAAGTAATGAGATTAAATTTTTTTCTCAACAACTAGTAACACTGTCAAAACGAAACTGCAGTGGATCGAAAGCTACTTTTATACTCTACTTTCAGTTAAAATTTCAAGTCGATAACAATAACACTTGTGATTCTGCAATCATTTGTATAACAGTATGTTTGAGTGACGCGTCACGAAAATGGAACACAAGAAAATCGAGCAGCGTTATGTGAAGTTTGACACAGCAAATTCTGTGTCAAAGGAGGGATGTCAATAAGGCCGTCAGAATCGCTCCAAACTGTGGTATTTTTTTCCTACCGATGTAGCTCACAACCTCCTAGAACCGTTTGCTGTCCGAGCAATTCGAGGCTGAGAACGGGCAACTTAAAATGTCAAAAATCAATGAAGTTTTTCACATAGTGGTAGTGCCGGTCTCATTTCAGCATGTCATTGTTGGGAGGGAGGGAGGGAGAGAGGGAGGAGAGGGAGGCAGGGGGAGGGAGAAAGAGAGGGAGGCAGAGGAAGAGAGAGATAGGAAAAGGGAGGGAAGAGAAGGAGAGGGAGGCAGAGGGTGGCTGAGAGAGGGAGAGGGAGGCAGACCTGGTCCATCCCGTCTGGTTCCCGTCATTCTCTCTCTCTCTCTCTCTCGCTCTCCCTCTGCCCCTTTCTATCTCTCTCTCTCTCTCTCTCTCTCTCTCTCTCTCTCTCTCTCTCTCTCTCTCTCCCCCCCCCTCCCTCCCTCTCTCCCTCCCTCTCAACAATGACATGCTGAAATGAGACCGGCACTACCACCATGTGAAAAACTCCATTGATTTTTGAGATTTCAAGTTGCCCGTTCTCAGCCTCTAATTGCTCGGACAGCAAACGGTTCTAGAAGGTTATGAGCTATATCGGTAGGAAGAAAATACCAGTTTGGAGCGATTCTGACGTAGGCCAAAAAACGGCCTTATTGACACCCCTCCTTTCAGAATAACGTGACAGAGAAACATTTGAAAACTGTTGACAGTGAGAATGATTAGTGATCAATTAAATTAAATTTGAATCACCAAATTGTTTATGTCATTGTTGGTCCAGAACGGGATTCATCTTCATAATTTCACCGTCATCTAAAAATGCCTTGTACCCGGGATAGAATTTGATCTCTGTAAGTCTGTTTCAACTTCTTAAATGTTCCCATCGAATTGTCCTGGAGTTTGACATAGAATTTGGTCGCATAACGCTGCTCGATATTCTTATGTTCCATTTTTGTGACGTGTCATCCAAACATACTGTTATACAAATGATTGTAGAATCACAAGTGTTAATGTTATCGATTTAAAATTTTAACTGAAAGTAGAGTATGAATGTAACTTTCGATCCACTGCAGTCTTGTTGAGAAAAAAATTCAGTCTCATTGCTTTTTAAACAGACCACGTAAATGCTAAAGACATAAGAAACAAATATTTTTCTACATGTAGCACATCTTATAAATGTACTCGCTGCAATTATATTTTGATTGTCGATTACAAAACAAACTTTATTCGTATTTTCAAATAAAATTTCTTTCGATATTAATTTTGAATTTCCTTAAAGTATAGAATTTTGTACCTGTTAGAACGGTCATTTTTACGAAAGATATGTGTATAACATTATCATATTATTTAAGAAACTTGTAGAAAATGGATGAAATTTTAAAAATAAAAGTGAAAATATTTCTTTTATTTGATTATTGTTTTATACAAAATATACTAAAAAATATAGGATAAGTAACTAAATATATGCCAAATATTTATTTCTATGTAATAAATAAAATATACCTGCAAATTAAATAGTTAAAAAAGAAATAAAAAAATAACAAAATAAAAAATAATAAAATAACGTAGGTTTCGATTCAAGGTTTCTGCTATTACTACTCTTGCGGTTACTGATTACGTCATAAATCAGTTAAATCACTTATAACGCTGCTTTCTTTATGTTTTATAATCTACAATATCGATATCACTGATTACTCCAAATTTCAGGCATAAAATAATACTATTTGCAAAACGCATGGGACGAAATGCTCGAATATGAATCAACTTATTTTCCATGTAGATTCATCACGTGCAAGAGCATAAAATCGATGATTAGTCAACCATGCCCTCTTCTTGTAAGTATTTCTAACTTTTTACAAGTTATATATGAAATAACTTCATAAAAAGCAGCTTTATGGAGTTTTGTTTTACAATTAAAGTATATAAAAATCATCATATCGTATTAATAATGTTAATTAATTTAAACATTTTTCTTCAAATAATTGATCAACTAATTTATCTTCAGAGAAAGAAGAACTGTAATTACTTTACCTTGAGAGGGTTTGCAATCAGCATAATCTGCGTAATTGCGGATGGAGGGAGGAATGGATTATGCCCTGGCAACTTTGTTCCAGAAGGCGCCTGCAGTCTACATTTGCATTTCTATGCACAGTTATATAAAATTGAAGTTGTAAAAATATCTGTTTAATTAAATAATATATAATTTCTCGAACAATTTTGAAATTTATAAATCTTTGACTGTTAACATTTTTAATGTTAAGAACTTAAGACTGCCATTCTCTTGTCAGATTTTTTAACATTAAACTTATATTCCAAGAATTCTTAGAATTTAAAATGTTATATAATTATAGAACCTCGTCGAAAATTCATATATTTAAATTCCTAAGAGATTTAGAAAATTCTAAATCTTAAACATTTACCTTGGGTACAACTGCTTGAAATAAATAATTACTAAGTGGCTTTGCGTTTTTGCTCATTGTAGTAATTACTATTACAGATACATCTAATCTAGGGCTATCTTGAGCAAAATGAAGCACCACACTAATGTCATTTCTTTCCTCAATTACCGTTAGAGGTGGATTTATTCCTGTAAAGTAGTTGGCATTAGTTTCTTGAAATAACACATATACAATAACACATATATAAAAAGTAAGAAATGTAAGTAGAATAAAAAAATAAAAAATAAACACAAAGGTATAAAAAACAATATTATAATATATAAATTTATCTAATAACCTGGTTTAATGTCTTCAAGGCAGATTGTGATATCAGTCAATGGTTTGATTTCAGGCTCAGTATTTTCTGTCTTCGACATACCGTTACGTAATTGCATCATTTCCTGCTGCTGTATTTTTGCATTCATTATTTCTGAATTACTACTTTTCTTGCATAAATCAGCAGTTGCGTTAAATTGTGACGAATTTGAGGGTGCTAAAATGTCCATATTACTATTTTTTTCACAGTTTCTTGTATATGGCTGTTCCATTGCGTTATGTTGTGACATGTTATTAGAATCGTAGGATAAATTTTGTTTTCGAATAGGATCATAGATACTTTTTGTCACATTACTGCTTATTTTGCTGCAAAAATATCAAATTTTTTCTTTTAATTAAAATTTTTGGAATATATCATTTATACAAAGTGAGATAGCTAAAGTGTCAAATTATTTTGTCTATTAAACAAACTATTTTAACAAAAAATACTTTAGATAATTCTTCAATATTGAGGATATAGTAACATTTAAGGAGGTTCGATGGCTTCATCGGAGGGAGTAGTGGGACGCGGGGGTTCTGGAAACAGCGCACTAGCGTTTGAAGTAGTGGGAATGAAGGGGATTGCTCTGATTGGTCGCCGCGTGTATAATGCGTGCTGCTGTTCACGTCGTTCACGACCATGACAGTCTATGCAGACGAAAAATCAAGCAATTTATGCTTTAATAATTAATTTTTCTACGAAATGTGCGGTAACCTTCCCCTTTCTTTCGCTCATTTATTTGTAAATTATTAAGTTACATGTGCAAATTTCTTTTTCTTTATCATTTGCATTTTTTCTTGCACTTATTTCATTCTGAAGGTATATGCAATATGTCATTTCCCATAAAAACCATAAGAACCTATGTTAAAAATGCAGCCAGTTTCATGCAATTTTAATATGTTGTTCTGGAATGCAAAATAGAATTATGTGAATTTTTTGGGAATTTTTCACCGTCCCGTTTTGAAATAAATCTACTCCTAAAATTGTACTTTTTAGGTTTTTGGAGTAGATTTTTTTCAAAACGGGACGGTGAAAAATTCCCAAAAAATTCACATAATTCTATTTTGCATTGCAGAACAACATATTAAAATTTCATGAAATTCTCTGGATTTTGTTGTAGCCATCGAACCACCTTAAGTAATTTTGAGTGACTTTGTGAAAGATGCATCAAGGTCACCTTGAATTTTTTTGAATTCTCATTTTTTATTGCATATTCTTTCAGTTGACATTAAAATGTTTCAAAATCGATATGATTAAAGTTTTTCATGAACTATCCAAACTAGTCACAGAAGTAACCGCTAGTAATTACAATATCTGAAGTATGCCTGAATATGCCATGTGGAAGCTAGATTGGATTTATTCGTGTGCGCGCACGCACGCATCACATAAACTGTCAAAAATTCCCATTTGCAAACTGTTTCTTTACACTTTTGTTAATCTATTAATGTTGACAATTATATATAATTAGATTTTTTTTAAACTTTGTTAATTAGTATACTGATATACTCCAATTTTCTGGAAAATATTTTTTTAACCATCATTATTAGAATACCTAGAATATAACATTTCCTAAAAGTCCCGATTTCACCATACTGTGTGTACGATATCCAGTGTACTTGCAATTATCAATAACTTTTCGAAAAGTCGATATTCTTAAAAATGTTTTTTTAACTTAAGGTGCCTTTTCATGCTGACGCTCGACGCTCATTTTCAGCGGCAAGAAGGTCGCATGACCACAATTGACGCCGGCGTCAATTGAAATTCATGAAAAGGAAAACAGCGTCAAAATTTCGGCGTCTTCGCGCTGCTTTGGCTTTGACGCTTGAAGTTGGAAAAATCCAACTTCTCTTTCTTGACGCTGGCATCATAAGTGATGTCACGTGACGTCGCTCAACGCTGTTTTTCAGCGTCCCATGAATTGGCACCTTTAAACGCGCGTTTTTTTTTCAATTTAAATGCCAGAATGTCAGGAACGCGCCTATGTCATTATAATTGCGATTAATATTTAAAAATAAAAGTTAATTTTGGAAAAAGCCCGAGTAGTCCTGACAAAAAAACGCTATTTGCTTCCAGAAATTACTTTTTCTTTCAACGTTGTATTATATAAAAAGTTTAATCATTTGCTGAAGGTAAAAGATGTAATTTTTCAGAAAAAAATAAGAAGTAATGATTTCTTTAAAAAATACAATTGTCTATACGTGACAAAAGTTGACTATGACAAAAAAGCACTTACATCACACATGGGTGTAGTACACCCAATATTTTTTTTATTGACATGCTATACTACTAAACGGTAGATAAGGCTGTGCAGGGTGAGGAGTCGTAGAGGGGGAACAATAATTTATTTATCTTACTCCACTTTGATTCCCTAACTTTCACTATATAGAAATGGCGAGTATTTTAATAACAAATGTGAGTGTGCTACACCCACAGTGTGGTGTTCTAGGGTTAAAGAACATATCATTATATAAATACTTAAACTTGTGAATGTAACAATAGTGTTTCACCTCATAATGTTAGTTTTCGTCAAAAAATAAATTAAATCTTTTTTAATAAGAAGATAGAGAGTAAACGAGGGGCCGATTATGTATCTTGAAACGAGATAGAAATTACAATAGTGAATAGATTTAGTAGATTTCGACAAATGAAATTATAGGAACCCTAGTAAATTTCCTCACTTTTATAATTTTTACCTCGTTTTAAGATACACAATTAACCCCCTGAACTTTATGTTCACCAGATTTAACACTAAGGTTGCTTGACCTTAACCCTAGAACACCACACTTGGTGCAGCATATCCACGTTTGTTATTAAAATTGACCGTCGTTTCTACATAGTAAAAGTTAGGAAATCAAAGTGGAGTGAAGTAAATAAACTTTTGTTCCCCCTCCATGACTCTTCATGCTGCGCAGCTTCATCTGCTGTTTAGTAGATGTATGGCATGCCAATAAAAAGAATATTGGGTGTGCTACACATATGTAGTGAGTGCTTTTGCGTCTTAGTCAACTTTTGTCAAGTCCAAATATATTTTTTAAAGAAACCATTATTGCTTCCTCATAGAGGAAGCTTTGTTTTCCATAAACTTCGTATATGGACCTTGGATCGCATATAAAACTAGATCTAATCAATGTTTTTTTAGTTTTTAATGCCAACCTGTTCCTTATGTTCTAAAATGTCGAAAAATCGCTATTTTAAAAAATGTCGGTATGTGTGTATGTATGTGCCAAATTTACCGAAATTTCTATATAACTCCAGAACTAATCAATCAAATCTTAACAAATTATATATGAAATAGGGGTAGAAAAAACTGAAGAATATAATAGAATTAATAAAAATTGCTAATAATAAAGGGGTTACCGATTTCTGTATAAAAAAACAGTCAAACTTACCAAAATTTCTATAACTCAAGAACTGATTAACTAAATTTAAAAGAATTATATATGAAATAGGGGTAAAAAAAACTGAAAAATATAATAGAATAAAAATTGCTAATAATGAAGGGGTTACCGATTTCTATCTAAAAGAATCTACATGATTCCCCCAATTTCCACAAATTTTGAGATATCAAGCTTAATTTTTTTTTATGGATAGAGTATCATTAAAGGAAGATTGTTAGTGAATTTGGCGAAGATCGGTGAAGGGATTACCGATTTCTGCTTAAAAAGTGTATAAGATGTACATGTAATTTTATAGAGTAATATTAAAAGAAGGTTGTTTTGAATTTTGCGAGGATCGGTGAGAGGGTTACCGATTTCTGCTTTTTAATGATACTCTATATAAAAATACATATATAACTAATACATGTAACTTTTAAGCAAAAATCAGTAACTCCTTCACCGATCCTCGCCAAATTCAATACCTTTCTTAAATAATACTTTATCCATCAAATCCAACTTGCACATTTTTTAAGCAGAAATCGGTAACCCTTTCACCAATCTTCGCGAAATTCAAAACAACCTTCCTTTAATGATACGTTCTATATATAAGATTACATGTAGAATAGAATTTATTTACTTCAGCTTTACAAAATTAGCCAGGAAGGGACTTGGTTTACAATTAAATCTCTCACTCATCCATCCATATCATGCGTACACTCACTGCTCTTTTAAACTAACCTAACTACTTAAACCTGAATCTATCACATCCTTATCTTTGGCTTAATTTATTTCCTTTCTCTTTTTAAATTCCTTCTCCCTCTTCTTCCATAATTTCCGCAACATCTTACCCTTATCTAAATCTAGTTCATCACTCCACAGCCTTTTCCACTTCTCCGCCCCGTCATTACCTAAATCCTTAAACCGTACACTTGCTCTCTGACATTCCTCTACATAATGTTCCATACAGTCATTGCCATCGCCGCACAAAATACATTTTTTGCAATCTTCTTCTAACTAATATTTGTTTATTTCTTCCAAATTTTCGCATCTCAGTTTTACTAAAGCTCTCACATCGTCACCTATCCTTACCCTTTATAAATTATCCTTCTTTAAATATTCCGGACCTCCAACTAACTTATAAGATTACATGTATAACTTGTACACTTTTTAGGCAAAAATCAGTAACCCCTTCATCGATCATTGCCAAATTCAATACCAACCTACCTTTAATAATACTCTATTCATAAAAAAAAGTGTGCAAGTAGAAACTTGTACATTGCTCCCTCATAGTTTTTAAGTGTGCAAGTGGAAACTTGTACAATGCTTTCTCATAGTTTTTAAGTGTGCAAGTGGAAACTTGTACATTGCTTTCTCATAGTTTTTAAGTGTGCAAGTAGAAACTTGTTTAAGTGAGCAAGTAGAAACTTGCACATTGCTTTTTTATAGTTTTTAAGTGTACGAGTAGAAACCTGTACATTGCTTGCTCTATGAGAAAGCCAAATTAATAAACATCTACTAATAATTATGCATAAAAAAACAGGCTTCCTCATAAATGTTCGAGAGCGCGCGGTAGCGCGGAATCGCGCGAGGTAAAGAGACAACCACAAAAAGAGCAAAGATGAACAGCAAGTACAGAAAGCAATAAAGTATATAATGTTCAAGTAAATCAGCTGTATACAAGTTCTTTACAGTCCCTTTCAGGTGAAGAGCCGTGAGCGCGCACAGACTTTAGCATGGCAAAAGCGGCGAGCGGTTAAGCGAATGCGAAAATGCGGATGGCGAAGCGAAAAGCGGTTTAAGCGGTATACTAGCGGTGATCTACGAGCGAAATCGATCCCGCTCCGAGGCGGCGGTCGTTTTATCGTCTCGAAAACGAGCCTCCCTCCAGCCCCTCCAGGCTAATTGCCGATAATTTCGGGGAGGTGATTGGCCACCGGCGGCCTACGTCACCGTGCATACGTCACCGTTTCAAGTGACGACCCGAGAAGATCGTTACATGTTTGCGCTCGTTTTGTTTGTAGCATGAATCTTTCTATTGTGTGAGCGCGGTGGCTTGACTTTATTTGTGCCCTCTGTCAACTGAGGCTATGTTTGCAAGCAATTAGCGAACTTTCTAGAACGCGAGCGATAGAAAGATCCATAATTCGACAACGCTAAACTTTAACGTCGACAAATTTAATGTTAACGAGGCTGCTTGAAATGCGATTGCGATACCGCGTTGAATATTTTATCCTTTCGATCGCTAGAATGCATATGAGTTGCGATGACTTTACTTCCTGAAAATCACGCGAGAATTACGCATGATCTCAAACACTCATAGAGAAAGCAATGTACAGATTTCTACTTGCACACTTAAAAACTATAAGAAAGCAATGTGCAAGTTTCTACTTGCTCACTTAAACAAGTTTCTACTTGCACACTTAAAAACTATAAGAAAGCAATGTACAAGTTTCCACTTGCACACTTAAAAACTATGAGGAAGCAATGTACAAGTTTCTACTTGCACATTTAAAAACTATGAGGAAGCAATGTGCAAATTTCTACTTGCACACTTATTTTTTATTTGTTTTTGAAAAAACATCCTTTACGTTCAACAAATGATTCGTCTTTTAATACAATACAACATTAAAAGAAAAAATAATTTTTAGAAACAATTAGCACTTTTTAGTGAGTCTAGAAATTTCTACTCAAGCTTTTTCCGAAATTAACTTTTGTTTTCAAATGTTAATTGTAATTACAATGAGGTGTAACTATAACAGACGCGTTCCTGACAGTCTGGCCTTTAAATTAAATTAAAAAAATAAAAAAAATAAAAAAATATCAACTTTTCGAAAAGTTATCGATAATTAAAATTACACTGAGTATCATACACCTAGTGTGGTGAAATCGAGACTTTTAGAAACAGATGATACCACTTTTGAAAAATTCACTATCATCACTTTTCTGAAATGGAAGCCAATTTTTTTTAACATAAGTTGTAGGTCTCGAGATAAATATTTATAACTCAGTAAAAATAGTTCATGGAAAAGAATTTAATATCTACAATATCGTTTTGAAAAAGTCTCAATATCAACAAAAAAAATATAAAAATTGAGATTTTTAAGTTTGAAAAAATTGTAAAATTTTAAAATGATTTTGATGTGCCTTTCACATCCATGTCATAAATGTTAATATCTGACATCCGCCCTACTTTTGTCTAAAGAATTTTGTCGAAGTATTTTTTTGCTAAAATACTTCGATTAACAAGTAAAATAACTTAACACTTTAGCTATCGTACACTATATATAAAATAATGCCTAGAAAATTGAATGAAAACCTTTCTACATCAGAGAGAGATTTCTTGTTTTTAATCATTTTATTTAGGGTTTAAAATTCAATATCTATAGACATACTTACCCTTGTGACGAACGTGTACTTGATACTGTGCACGACAAACTTTGTTTAAGTAAAGTTTCTCCCAATTCATTTAATTCTTCCAGTGCTTTTGCTTTACTGTCTATTTTTTCTTCATCAGTATTGATAATTTCGTCTACGGAATATTATTTATAAAAATAATACAATAAATAAGCATACATATATAGGGTGTAACCAGATCTATGGAACAAAGAACGGTAATTATGCAGTTTAGGGGAAGCACCTCCGATGACCTTGACCTTGACATATGTTGTCAAGGTCACCCTCCTGAGTGACCTTCAGAAGGTTTTAGCCGTCGCTCGTTTTTTATTAAAAAATTATAAACAAAAAAAGTTTCGAAAATATAGCAGTTATTTTAAGTACTGAGAGGCATAAACGACTAATATTACGTTTTTCTTTAAAGCAGAGAATACTTTATTTTGCGAGAAAGTCGCTGCTTTACCAAAACACAACATTTAAAGCAGTAAATTGTT